ATGTGCCCAACCCCAGTCATCTATGACTCCAGGACCTACTATTCCTTTGCTGTTGACCTCAGCTGCATGGGCAGATAATAATGTCTAGGCATAGACTGCCTTTCATAAGGCAGTTACTTCAATGTTGCAGTCCAAATGAAAAAAAAAAGAAACAGAAAACGTCTGTATTAGCTACAGAGCTGTTGGCATTACCCGCTGAGTTCATTGAGATGAGCTCCCAGACCAAGTTGACCCTTCAAGGAAAGAGCGAAGATATCCCATGAAGCAATTGTTTCAACCACTTAGTGGAACTCCATTCTTTAAGGGGATCACCTGGTGGTTGACATCACTTCCTTGCTTTAAAGCATTGCGATTTTCTGTGTTTTAACTCGGTTATCTTTTTACAGGCTGAACCCCCTGCTGAATTCTTCAGACATACACCACTCACCCCAGCATACCCTCCCTGGCAGTGGGTAAATGGCAAATAAAAAGGTTCGCTCCATCAAGTCAATTGAGGAGGGCAGGTGGCAGGGTACCCAAGGATGCTTTTGCTCTCCATGCTGCTTAATGTCTCTAAGATCAAACACAAAGATCATGGGAGGAACAGGTGATCAGCGGGCAACAATAGATGACTGTACTAGGTTCTGGATGGGTTGTGCAACTCAGACAAAATGGATGGCCCCATTTAAAATGACTTCAGAAGTATCAAAGGAGGTCTCTGTAGTTACCGTATGTGCCTTCAGACTCGAACATTATTTTCCAATCCTGCTGGTGCTACTATTGCAGAGTGAGAAGGAAATATGAAAAAGGCTTTCTCTTCATTCAGACTTCTTCCACAGATGCTTTTTCCAAAAAGAAATGCAAACTTTATATGTGAGTTTTGGAATGAGGCTGGGACAGTGTTCCCCCATTCACAGAAATGTTTGTGGGATGCAAGAAAATAGGCATGCTGTGCCCAGCAGGTTTTCACCAAAAAAAAATTCAGATAACTTTTCCATTACTCATCAGGGAAGTTTTGTCCCATTACTCCATCCCTACCCCCCAGAGAAATGCTAATCTTTGTTATAGGATTATTTGTCCACTCATCTTATTATGTAATAGAAATACAAACAGCTCTCTACACATATATTTGAGTTTCGTAATAGTCAAAATGAAACCAAAATTTATCCCAACATTTTATAGGGCAAATATGTGCTTTGTTTTGTTTTTTAAGTATTGGTGTTTTTAACTAATATTATAAAAATTCAAACAGTGCAAGGGACATCAATTTTGTCTCCTTCTCACTCTAAATCTCCGGTTTCCTCATTCTCTCTCTCTCTCTCTCAGAAACAACTGCTACTCCTGGTTTCAGTGTAGTCATTCAGAGTTAGTTTGCACATTTACAAATATTTCTATATGTGTTTTTATATATGTGTCCTTTTTAAATTTTTTACTCAACCAAGTATATAACATCCATGCTGTTCTATTCCTTGCTTTTTCAACCTACTTCTTGGAAATATCTACATAAAGGTGTGTATATATATATGTCTACTTCATTCTGTTTAATGGCAACATTTCATTCTATAACATGCACACTCCAAAATTTACTTATTCTATCTCTTTTGGTTGACATTTGCATGGTTTTCTCTTTTTTCTGTTATATGCATTTCAACAATAAATACTATATAGTATTAGTATATATATTTTACTAACATATAAAATTCTATAGTTACATAAATATATAATTTTTGCACGCATGTTCAAATATATCTGTAAAATCATTTTCTCAAAAGGAAATTTTAGAGGAAAATATCTGCAGATGTTTTGACAGATATTACTGAATTGCTTTCCTAATGGTTGGTACCAATGTAAACAATCACCAGTAGCATATAACATGGCCTATTTACCATATAATTGTCAACACATGTACATTTAAACTTAATTTTCCTGTCCATTTGAAAAATACTATATATCTTTAAACATACCTTGCATTAATTATAAATAAGGCTGAGTTGGTTTCCATGCATTTAAATGTCTTTTCTGTGAACTGACACTTCTTATCTGTTGATTTGGAATGTCACCTACATGTTATGTTGAGCCATATATAATTGCCATTTTTATAAGGAATAAGAGATGAAAATTAGCAATTTTATATGGTGTAACTCAGATAGATATATAGGTAGGTAGATAGAGTATATATACCTGCATCAAAAATTTAATTAATATGGCTAAAAATGCATAATGACATGCCTTCTTATTCATCTTTTTCAGAAATATCTTGACCATTCTTGAATGTTATTTTTCTACCTATAAAGATATCTTTTTCTAAACAAATTAATATGTCATTTAAAAATTTGTATTTAATTTCACTGATAGTCTAATTTAGAGATAATCAATATCTTTACATGATTGCCTTTCTTTATCCTTACCTTCTGGTATACAAAAGTCTACTCTTGTAAAAATGTCAAATCCTCAATATCTTGGTACACACTTAGTTTTTATTTCATATAGGTCTTCTGTATTTGTATTAATTTTATTTCTGGTATTTTATAAATATTAATATCATTATAATAAGATTTTTCTTTTATTATATCTTCTAATTTGGGGTCTTTAGAGAAAATATTAATTTTTGAATATAAATTTTATAATCTAATACATAATTAAATTTTAAATTATTTTTAACAATTTTAGTTAATTTCTTTGAGTTTCCAAATATATAAGCATACCATCTGCATATAACCATAATATTTTATACCTCTCTTTTTCTTACATCAAATGTATCAGCTAGTATTTACAAAACTAATATTCTGTTGTTAAGCAAAATCCTGATTTCTGATTTTATATATATATATGTATATATACACATATATTTATGTATATATACACACACATATCAAGAGTTTGTTTCTATAAAATTTGGCTAATAATTTTTATGCAATATACTTGTTAAATTTTATCAAACACAATTTTAAAATACCTTTCACAGATAATGAAAGGCATTTATGTTTTTTCTCCTTTTAGATCTATTAAGAGCTAGTTTTATTAATGGGTTTACTAAAACTGAACCATCCTTGCATTCCAGATACAATTGCTCTTCATTGTGGTATAGTCTTCTTTCATGTGTTACTGAATTCCATTTGCTAATGTAATTTTTAGTTCCATTTTTATATCAATATTCATAAGTAAAATTGGCTTGTAGCTTTATTTGATATTATCAGTGCAATACTGGTCTCAGGCAAAAAGAAATGAAAATTCTCTGTCTCTTTCATGGATCTAGAAAAATTTAGACAACATTGAGTGATCTGATCTTTGAAGATGAGCAGAATTTCCCTCTGAAATTGTCTGGGTCTAGTGTTTTGGGGAAGAGCAGAGAAGCTCTTTGGCAAAATTTTTGTTTTTTTCTAAGATACTTAATATATTTTATTTTCTCTTAAATATTTTATTTTAACCTTTTTCTATATAACTTTAAAGTATGTTTATGTTTTCCCAGTTTTTCAATTAAGTAGATTATTGAGAATAGAATATAATAACACTATGAATATGTTTTAATCGATTATATGAAGAAAGGCTACAGTGAATCATCAATTTTTGACAGATATCTTTGTGTTTATCTCTGTAATGTCTGCAGTTTCTAGACATCAGTAATGGGTAGAATCGCAAGACAAACGAAGTAATTTTGTGTGTGTATGTATTGTACATGTCACATGTGTCTAACAAGGCTTCTGACTAAGCATTTCTATCAATAATGGATTTCAATTCACCGTTACGTATTTCACGAAATCTGAAAGTTGAAATGCACATGCAAAATTATTTATTATAGTCTTATTGTTTTATAGATAGAAAAATTCTGAAAGGTAGACAATTTGCTCAAGTTTTCAAGGCTAATAAACAGTTTAGCTAGAACTGAAGACCATGCCTGAGAATCCTAAGATTATTTTCACTTGACTGTATTCCTTAATTTCCTCAAACAGCAAGAAGAATTGTGAGATGGCTAATTTAAATTCTGTAATTTATAGTTTAAATGTATCTAAGGGTGATGGCTAATTTAAATTCTATAATTTATAGTTTAAATGTATCTAAGGGTTTTATAGTTAGTATGACTTCTTCAAATAAAAAATACTGTAAGTTAGAAGATTTTAAAATTTTTTCCTTCAATATATCTATCAATATAAGTAATTATATTAAAAATAATTTGTGTACATTATAGTTAAGATAGATTCATAATAATTGACAATTGACTTTAACCAATCATTTGTAATGGCTAAAAAAGAGAATAATCTTAGTTGTCAAAATTCATGCAATAACTGTCTTTTCTATTACCATTCTCTTTTTTGAGCCATTATGGTTGGTATTGGGTTATATAAAGTAAGACACATACAACTGTGGTTTCATAAGTACAGAGAGCTCAGAATTCTGTGAGAATTGAGTGATGAGCCACTCATTCCTGCCATAGCTTGAGATAGTCATAAGAATATTTTGTAAGCCAACCTTCACCAGCATCTTTCTTGGTAACTACCTGCATCTTATAACAGCTGCGAAGTGTGTGAGGGTGGGGGAAAGACACGGAAGAGATTAGCTCAAGAAGATTCTGATCCTATCTTTTCAGATCTTAAATCCTTTTAATATTTTAAATATGCCATAGCTAGACGTCTCTATGCCCCATAGCAAACATTAAATTCAGAATGATCAGAATGAGCCACATACGACAAATACGCCTTCTTCACTTTCTTATTTCACCTACATTCCTTTGTGGCTCTAAATAATACTGAAGCAGGAGAACATTCCTAGGGACATGCTCATGCTGTTAGCTGTGACTGAAAAATGTACAGAACTGACAATTACAGAAATTTTCCTTTACAAAACTTCAGGTCATGGAGGAAGACCTACTTGTATTTTTCTGCCTGTTTCTGTTATTAACCACTTTTTAATTAACATAAATTTCTGTCTGAATAATACCATTCCTCAAGAGTGAAGTTATCTGACTTCATAACTTCAGTTACAAACCTTGGTTACTGCATGGTGGACAGTACAGTAAATCTTACCATGATTTTGCACTAAAGCTTGATAAAGAAGAAAGTTGCCAAAACGTGAACGACTGCAAAAAAGTCACTGGGTTCCTCCTCTGTCTCCTCACCTGTGAAAAGAAAGAGGTGGCCAAATTAACTTGATGATCCATAACTGTCAGTTGCTGAAATGCTACTGAAACTCAGGAATTTGCTTTTTTGCTTATGTCTCTTCTGGGATTGTAGGTTTCGTGTAGCAAGAAGGTGAGAAAGAATAGTCGTAGATAAATAAATCATTCTCAACTGATTACTGGATCTAAGAGGGATCCATTATTGAATAATGCAGCAAGAATGTCCCAAATATTCACCAATTGTTTTGCAGCCTTATTCCCTGATAATAGAAAGTTATCTTTAAACTCTTTCCATTACATTTATCCCTTCACTATGGGACAACAACTGAGACTAGGTTCTATTCAGAACGGCACAAGTTTGGAAATTTCTCTTTACTTTCTCTCTAGATGTCCAGATATAAGAGTGTGTGGTAGGCGAAGAAACATTTATTTTTACCTTCATATCCTTCATTCCTAAATATTAAATACCCACCTTGTTATAAAGTTTAAAAGCCAACACTAATTATAGATTTATTTGGATTTTAGGAGATTAACTAGAGAAGATGACTTCCGTGGCAAGGGAGAATATTTGTGTATCGTAATATACAGAACTACAAGTGCACTCAGCATTTGTTCTGTGGTGTTGTTTTCCATTAACCAGTTAGACAGGAATGCTAATGGTGTGTGGGGGGACGATGTCAATATTCATGATGCTGCTGGAAATGTATATAAAATGTGGTTTCCATTACTCCCCACTGGGAGCAATAAGTAATGCTGTGTACAAGGGAAGGACAGCTTGTTCATGAATATGAGCACAGCAGCAAGTTGTATGGGAAGGCAAAACTCCCAGGATTTTATGACTCTTAACTATTCCAGCCCTCAAGTGTCACTATCTGTGACTTGGCTGTGAGTAATGAGAGGCTGCCTTGCCTTTGTCCAACTTTTATTGGGAGCATTGAAAGGCGTATTGCCTACCACCTGTTGCCTTCATGCACTGGAAATCTCTAGGATGCCATGTCAGGCAGGAAAACGCTGTTGGTGGTCTCAAAATTATTGCCAATTGCTGGGATAAAATTGTTGTTAGAGTCACATTCCCATTTCTTTATTCAGCAAGGTGAAAAACAGCTCATTGTTTATACATCCTACCGTGATGAATTATGAAGACATTCTAATGGAAAGTTTGCCATGGAAACTGCCAGTAAAATGTGGCTAAGAGACATCAAATTGCAGAAGGTACTTTTCAATAATTAGAAGTGTTTATGAACTAGGTACATGGTGAGAGCCATGTACATATAAAACAAGAGGTAAAAATATTCTCAAATTAAATCTCCACAGTAGGAGAAATAAGGGGCTAAGGCAGAGACTGCATTTTGGAAGATGTTCTGTATTATGCTAAAATGCTTTTTGGTATTTTTACATTGGTATTTTTTTAACAGTAAGAATGTTCTTACTTTTATTTTTTCTAATGGGAAGTGTAATTATGTATTTTATTTAGAAAACCTTAACTATTAAAAGCCATAAAGTGGGGGGAATTAATGTTTTTTAATGCAAAGTGGCATTCTAAAATGTGTGGCCTATTAGGTAACCTGGAGCTGCCACTACAATGCAGCCTGTGTTTTTGCCTAGAACACAGTGGCAAATGTTAACTGAAGTAGGAATGTGAAGATGGGGATCCAGTTTTGCCACTGTGAGCTGTGCGATCCTGGGCAATTTTTTACGTCTTGAGGCACAGTTCTCATTTTCTAAAGACTGGGCACAAAGATCTCTGCACCGCTTACCTCAAAAAATGGGTGGGGAGAAAGATGAAAGGAAATTATTATCAAACTGTTTTGATTAAAATATACTAGAGTAAGTAGAATGATAATGATTTGTTCCTTTATTCAACAAACATTTTACTACATCCCTAATGTATTATGGGTGCTACTTTGGGCACAAGAAATTCAGTAGTTAACAAACACTTCTTGCCCTTATGATCTTACATCTGTATGTAAATGAAAAAACATAGGTAAATTAGCTCATATATAATATAATCTTAGGTAGTCACAGAGGATAAGAAAATAGCAAAGCGACAGAAGAAAATAAGAGAGTGATTGTATTTGTGTGCAGAAACTTCTGGGTAAGTTGTTCGTGCAGACTTTTCTGATGACGTGTTATTTGAGTAGAGTCTTAATTACTTGCGAGATGAAACCTGTGAAGATCTGGGCATGAGAAATAATAGTTAAAGGAGCAGCAAGTACAAGGAACTGAGGAATGAACATATTTTATGTGTCTGAGCAGCAGCAAAGTGGCCAAGGGAGTTGAAGCAGGGTGAGAAGAGTAGCAGGGAGAATACTCATCAATGACAGTGGGAAGGCAGCCAGGGCAGATCATGTGTGGGGCTGTCACAGTGACCTAGGATGGCATTTCGAGTGCAATGGGAAACTACTAGAAGTTGTAAGCAATGGAAGCCCAGGCCCTGATTTCTGTTTTAAAGTGATGATTTTGGCTGTCATACTGTGGCCAGCAGGAGGGAAAATGGAGGCTTCTGCAATAGTCCAGTTCATAGATGATAGTGACTTGGACTAAGGTAGACGCAGTAGAAGTGACGAATTTGGGATATGTCTTGAAGTTGCAACCTAATGAGTTGTGAGATAAATTTCTTATAGTTGACGCAGTAGACCTTTGAGTGTCACCAGGGCGGCTGTCCCAGCTAGAAGTATGAGAAACAGTGAGCCTTTATATTTCTGGGCTCCTCTGACCATGTGGATGCCTCAATCTCGGCATGTTGTTTTGAACCAAATTTAGCGTACCTCAGGGAAGAACTAGGGAAGGAATGGGCAGTTGTATCTACTCGCTTGTCATCTTGACCTTGTCCACCCTCTGCATAATATGTCTGCTGCTTGGTAAGAAACCAAAGTGAAAGCAGCCGAAGCTCCAATTCAATAGATAATACAATATATTTTCTTGGTGGAAAAAAAAAAAAAAACACACACACAAGGAAATTAGCTGAGAATAGGGTGCTGGAGAACCTGTTTTGAACATTAAAGTGTGCAGAGGTACAAAATAGTTATCCCGGAGAGTGGGAAAGTAAATTAACTAGGGAAATGTAGTGAGACTAATAAGCACAATAATGACCAACTTGAAATTAGTGTTGATTATTTAACATTAGGCCAGTTAGCATGGCTGTATTCTTCATATCCGTATATATCTGTTGCATGCCAGGAGCACTGTAGAGAGCTGAATTTAACCACCTTAGGTTTTTTCCAGAAAGTATGATGCAAGAGAAAGGAAGGTGAAGAGCCATGGACTATAAATTGGATGAGGAAGCACGAGGGTGGTAAAGGACACTGAGAAGGTGGCTGGTTCCATAGATGGAAGGACTTCAGCGTGGGCAGACAAGAGGGACAATTCTAGAAAGATAGAAAGTGGTCAGAGATGGAATCCTTGAAATTGATGATGATATTATTCGTAATCAGCCAGGTTTTATGTATGGCCCTGGGAACGGGTGGCTATACAGACTGTATAGCTTCAAATATTTTTGGCTGATGATTGATTCCAGCTGGTGGTGTCATATAAACTTTGGAGACTCTAAATTCTTTGTAGAGCATTTTTATTTGTATGTGTGCTTTCTTTATTAACCATGTGTTAAGTCTGGAGTGTCTAGAATATTTCATCTAAAAAGATGAAAGAATGGGACAAATTCTTTTTCTGAAAACCTCACAAAAGATATAGATTGTTTAGGGTCTTTCTGACACGTCAGCCCTCAAGTATAAAAACATTATTTCCTCGAGCTTAAAATTTCATGCTCTAGGATGACATGTTCGTTGTAGACCTTAAATTATTTTGTATTCATTTTTTCCTTCTCCTCCCCCATCTCCTCCTCCTCCTCTTCATCTTCCTCCTCCTTCCCTTTCTCTCATTTTCTCTTTCTTTTTGCTTCCAAATAAAGAGGTAAACATAGATAAATATAAATACATAAATCAGAAGGTAAATAAATAGATAAATAAAACGTCTTTGGAATAGGTCTTAATTTATCTTTTTGCACTCATACTTAACTGAAATCCACTATGAATCAAACTGCATCACTGCTGGATAGTAGCAAGGTTTTTGTTGCTGTTGTTTTGTTTCGTTTTGTTTTTAGCATCAAAAGGAGTTATATATCCATGAAACAAATACATTCCTAAGGCCTATGAGAGATCAGACTGTAGGTCCATAACTTCCAGAAATTTATGAAATACACATGGAAGACAGAACATTAAACAAGTAGGCTTGTGTTGTAGACAAAGACAAATTAGCATAAAAGATATGACTATATAGCCTGGGCAACATAACAAGACCCCATTTCTACCAAAAAAAATAGAAAAAAATTATTGGAGTGTGATGGTGTTTATCTGTAGTCCCAGCTACTCGGGGCGCTGAGGTGGGAGTACCACTTGAGCCCCAGAGGTCAAAGCTGCAGTGTACCATGACGGTGCCTCCGCACTCCTGCCTGGGCAACAGGGCAAGACCATGTTTCCCCAAAACATACATGATTATATGGTAACATGACTTAATATTTTTTAACCAAATGCACCAGAACTTACACACCAAAAGTGAAAGCTTTCCCCTTCAAAATAGCCACCTAGGCAAGTTATATAATTATTCCAGTGATGTTGACATTGCTGTAGACATTTTGTGAGCCACTCTTCTGGGCTTATCTTTAACTTTATTTTGAATATGTTTAAATGGTGCTGAATTATACTTTGGAAAGATGATTTGGCCACGGGAGGCGACTTAAGGTAATTTGGAGCTGAGGTCAGCAGGAATCAGTTTAAGAGATTTAGACCATAAGTAAGGAATGACCTTAATAAGGACATAGATTGGTTCACTTCCGAGCATTGTAAACTGACTCTGAAGGCAGTTTGCAAAAAGGAAAGACTAGTATTTTGAGCTATGGCACCACCATTAAACAAAATGCCTGACCTACCAGCCAAAGTGACCATTTTGCAGTGGAGGGCTCTCCTCTCGGATATTTGCTTTCTGACCCCAAAGAGAGCAAAGAG